TATGATTCACACCTCATACTTAGCCCTTTGACACCTCGCTAATGAGTCTTAATTGATTTAATCAACTCCTGTGTAGAGTGAAGAAGCGTAGCAGAATAATATGTAAGAATGATATTGGTCATGATTATTTTATTCTACATTTGCAAAGTATTTCTGATGTTCTAATGGCTATGCCATCAGTAATTGGTCACTTGTGCCGGTGTTCTCCTTTACAGCCTGGCTTTCCATGGAATTGTGCCATTCTTGTTTGCTGTCCGTCTGAGATATAGCGATAGCCATCCAGCATGTCGGCACCTTGGCATAGCTGCATCCAGGATCTGTCTCTTCCATAGTGAGCATAAGTGTAACGAGGAATTTTCAGTTTCAAATCTATATTAGTTATCTACCATGGCTCATCTTTTTCTATCTAACCTCTTTGCTTTTACAAACCTCCTCAATTACTTCGTTGCGGTGAATTGTCCCATTAGCACCTTAGTTACCACCTTGACAGAATTTCAATTGATCTTAATTGGTCACAGGGGCGGTGGGTAGCCTAGTGGTTCAAGCGTTGGCTCGTCGCGCCGAAGACCAGGTTCGATTCCCACATGGGCTGTCATGTTAAGCGACTGGGTGTCCCCGCCGTGATATTGCTGGAATATTGCTAAAAGCGGCGTGAAACTAAACTCAGTCCAGTCAGTAATTAGATTACACCAGTTTATGCCCGGATTTTGGCGTGAGATACAACACCTGCATGGTCCAGTGAACATGACTTTGTGAAATGGAAATCAACATTATTACCTACAAGCAATATATTAGGACTCAAATATTAGGAAAATATGAATATTGAATATTAGTTTCATCATTAATAAGTAACAGCTTAGAGGAGCTTTTGGTTTGGTAACAAAATCCATTTCACAGACATACTATTGAAAAGGTATAACCTTCCTTGTTATTTTCAATATCATGCTGGAATGCTACTGCCGCAACGTAGACATGGTTAATTGACATGACTCAAATTAATTGTTGAAGCTCATTATGCTTTAAGTAGTCTTGCAATCCCAGATAGGACTAACTCACAATACACTTACTGTCACCTACAACAACACGTCATCTGCAGCCCTAGACGTTTAGGTATCAGTCATTCACATTAAGGCTCATTACAGGAGACATCGACCAAGCCTGCTTGTTGATTGCTGGGTCCTCTAACTGGCCTACCTGGATTTATAATGCCACCCTGCATATAATGACATGTATTTTATCCTGGCATTATATAGTGGAGATTTATCGTTACGTATACCCTTGAAGTTATCGAGGGTGCTCTATTGGGGGCGATAGCCAATTCAAGAAGGAATTGCAAAACTTGAATATTGCACACCTCATCAGGAAGGTCGTTCTTGTATATCCCCGATTTCGGCACCGTAAAGTATAAGATTGGTTGTATTTTACTATCAATTATAATGGACGCAGTTTTTATTGAGATGTTCCGGAACTTATAGATGAAGCGTTTGACATTGTGTAAAACTGTCGGCTTGTTCGCCTAATAGTGTTTCACTAGCTTGCGGAAAATACATTTCTTCATTAAAACAGGTTGATATTTATTAAAGGCAACTTCTAGTAATTTTTCCATTTATTTGCCATCTCGCGTGTTATGATATTTTGCCGCATTTTTTAAGACTACTATCTTCGTTTTCGATATTAATAGTTAATCCCCATTTTTTTACAATATTCGTATAAAATGTCAATTTCTTGTGTGTAGGTTTATAGCAGAGACGTACCATATAATGAAACTGTAACCAAATATCGCTTCATCATCCGCAAATAGAATTATATGTTGAGAATAGTTCATCGATGAATATAAATGTTATGTCACTGGAATAGGAATCATATCTCACGGGATCATCTACATACATTATGAATAGTACTGGCGAAATTATACGGCCTGTCTTACCCCAGAAGAAGCAAGAAAACACAACCTTTGATAATCCCCTACAAATGGCATCAATTATCTCCCACTGACACTGAGAACTTGGAAAACAAATCTTGGCCAACATTGTTCCATTTCGGATGAAATCTCAGTTTTAAGGGTCTTATGATATCTAGTTGATTCTCAACTTGAAACGCCCTTCACCTCCATACCAGTTCAAAAGAAAGTCAAGGCCTATCATGCTGACCAGCAATTATGACAACTGCAGTATGATATTCAGAATGGCGTATTGCTTATTTCGCCCTACTGTGGCATTTGGGCGAGCATTGGTGTCTCAAGTCCTGAACACGTGTTCACTTGAAGCCTCTAACGGTGGCAAAAAATAAACAGTCTGGGCCTCAGAGTTCGGGTTTGCAGATTCTGAACCTTTTCCGTACTCAACCGGGCGTTTGTTACCATCAAGAGCCGCCTTCATTCAGGGCCCCGTGCCGGTCGGGCGACGAATTTATACGACAACGTCTCATGCGCAAACTTTGCGGCCATCCTCCACTCAGCACCCTTGCATTTGCCGGAATATGTCCATTGTTGGATGGTGAGGCCGGTTGCTGAAACTTGCTACAGAAGGCGGTTGTCAAACGACGGTGGCGTGAGAAACCGGTTCCGGTTTGCGGGCTACTCAATTGACCAGGGTTGTTCACGTTCTGGACTCAAAAGGTCGTTTGAAAATGGAATCGCTCCGTTCTCTCCTCACCAAATCCCATCTTGTTGCTCTCCGTCGTGTCTTCACCTCCGCCTGCAACTTCCGATAAACAGCCAGCTCTGTCTGTTGTCTCCTGCGCATCCTCGATAATCTCCAGGGTATACGTACGATCAGTCTTCACCATATAGTGGGTGGTCGCTTACTCGGGAAGTTATCGTATCATAACGTGCGGGAAGGTTTTAACCAACCCTTGTTTCTTCAGGTTTGATACCCCTTATCTAAGTGCCATCCCTAGTTCCGCCAAAGGCCCTGTTCCAAGCAAACGTAGCAGGAAAATGATGAAAGTGGTGAGGGCAGAAAAGAAGATATGATAAAATGAATGTTGGAAGAGGGTGTAAAGAAAGTGAGTGAGCATGGAACACCGCTTTAGCGGCTATCACGGCTAGGGACGCCTGGAATGGGCTTTACACGTTGTACCCATGTGAGAGTCGAACCCGGAGCACTCAGCGTGACGAGAGGACGCTTTAACCGATAAGCTACCCTACCAACCCAGAAGATCGAGAGTGTAAAACAGAGAGGGTGAAAATATATTGGGAAAGACGGAGATCCTGAGAATTGGAACAGATGAGGAACTGACGAGAAGAGAGTTGCTGCGGAGCTGGCAGCTGTAAGAAGGCGAGGAAAAAACACAGGGATTAGTAAACGAATGAGGGAAGAGGGGTCTTGTTGATGGTGAGTGATCATGAGACACTGTAAGAGATGTGGACTGAGGCGCGGTGGAAATATTCTTTATTAGTAAAAACTTATTTTTTTTATTTTATCGACAAGATTGACATCAAATATTTTTAAAAATTAACCTGGAAGAATGGGGCCTGGGGAAGCATGCCAGATTGCATTCAGACGTTGGCTAGCGTTGTCAATGGTTTTGCCAACTTATTGGGCCCAACGTGTGAATCTTATCGTGCTATCGACAATTATTCTTTTTCTATGTTTTGATCTTTTAAATGGACATCTAAAAACGTATGTGCTGATGGAATAAATATCTTAACTGACCTTTGACCTGTAGGAAGAGCATTTGGGTGTTTTCGACAAGATTTGACATAAAAATTAAGAAAAACCTGAATTGGACCACGCAAGACGAAGATGTCATGAGTTCCATGTCGGGTGCATGCAAACTTACTTCAGAAAGTGACGGTTTTGTGTTGCCCTACTACAGTGAGGAGTAACAGATAACCCATGCTTCCTGGAACCGTGAATGTAGATGTGTGAATATATATTAATAATATTTATTAACCATTTTCCTTTTGAGATGAGGAAGGACGCAGTTATTTACAGCATATACTTTTGATGAAAACAATGCGTTACTATAGGAGAATAGCATTTCAAACTGAATTACCTATTGAAAATAGAACATTAGATATTAGAGATCTGGCATGCACGAAATGGAAACACGTTGTTTTGTTTGGAACGAATTAATAGAATAAACCTGATTTTAAAATTGCATTTTTTCCAGTTCCTGTTCAAAATGCGTTTGATGCAAATAATAAATTAGAAAATGATAATGGAACGTTTCTCTCTATTAAAATAATGTCAAAATCGGACATATTAACTGGTTTCTTTCACTAAGACATGTACATAATACATTTCATTACATTCATTTTGTTACGACGGACACATTTTAGTATTTAAACAGGCGGTGATGTAAAGAGCAGCTTATATTAGGTTATATCACAGTGAGATTGGGTTTGTTCAACGATTTCGGATTTTTATAACAAATTCCAAATGTAAAATTTGTTCAATATTTCTCAAAGTTTGAAAGACAATAGTTTTATTACCATATTTATGTCACATGTTGACCATTCAGAAGGGGCGATAACTGGCATTTGGTTGTGAATGCGAAAAGATTTACAACAGCACTTCGACAGCCTTGGGCCCCGTCTCGCATATCGCTAAAAATTCGCCAAAGCGATATGCGACACTTCTAAGCTGGGCCCGATCTAGCTTTGTCGAACGTTAAACGCGCAAAGGGAGCCGGGAACCAGCTTAATGCTAACTGGCTGGCCTCATGGAACTCTGGGTAGGAGAGTGGATAGTTATTATTTCCGGTTTGGTCTTATGCTTTATATATTATTTGGTGAAACCGGTGACAACGATGTATAACCAGGAAGGATAGTTAAAAGGACGCGTGAGGGTACGGCATTTTCTATGCAATAAACAAGGTGTTTGAGCTGATGTCGCCATGTAATGATCATATTGTCAGGGCGTAGCGAAACAACGGTATCCATAGATATATGTTGCTGAAAATTGACCACCAGTGAAAATGGGGCTAAAAAAGTAAACAGAGGTCGTGTTAAACTGGCGCCGGTGGCTTTATGTACACTTCAGAAGATTGCCGTAATGTTTCCATTGCGAGTGTTCCAGGGAGGACAGCATTCGGCATGTAATGGAAAGCTTAGAACCACATTGGAGGTAAGTTTCTGTATCTAAATATCCTGTACAGGCGCATTTGCAGGTCAAATCGGTAAACTAGGCCCCAGTATTAACACCTTCTATATAATGCAGGGAATGTTGATGCTAAACGAGGCCTAGTTCAATGTTCCTATAATCTGTGCAAATCCGGTAATTCCGCGCACCTGGGCATCGATCAACAACACTGCAACTAACGTCTCTCTATTTTTTGTGACTAAACATACTGGTATGCATCACATTTACCTAGAAATATAAGTTTTATTCCTGAAGCTATAAGATTTTAACGGTTGCATTATTAGGGCCACATTATTTTCAAAATCACTTCATCAATGTAAGGAAGAGTGTTTAAATCATATTAAACGAAGTATGAAAGATAATGAACTGGAATATTGCTGAGTCGCGTAAAACTACTCACTCACTAAAAAGCAATTTTCATAAAACTGTCAATTTATCTGTCAATTACTGTAATTTACTTATCTTTAGTGATTGAAAGCCAGTCCCTTTAATAGAAATGTCCGATTTCAAGCGTAAATGTGGTAGCAGGCGATGTTTACCTTCGATGCGAGGAATACTCTTTTGCAGCGCATGAAGTGCGGACGTTGGCGAGAATTACCAGACTCACTTGTAATGTAAATTTGAGGACATCTATTTTGCATTGCACCTATCATTTCGGGTTCATGCGGTCACTACTACATGAAGTCATGTCAGAGTTTGTGTTTGTAAACATGAAGTCGTCTTATTATTCCTGCTGTCGCGATTTGAAATCAAAAAGCTTCAAATGAGTTTTATCAAAAAGTTTTTCTAGCTAACATTTAATGCTTCTGCACTAATGCAAAATCATTGAGAGGAAAATGAGCCTAAAATAGTTTTTCGTTCATGACAGCACCCATCTGCGTAGTATACCGCCTATACTAGGAGTGCGAGATAAAGTCTGACAAAAGCTGCTGTAAAGCTTTATTTATTAAATAAAGCTTTTATCGGGTACTTATCTCTTTCAGCTGAATTAATGCGCCTACGCATTATTTTAGGCTTTCCCTGTCATATGACCTGAAGCCAACACTCATGGCATGTTTCACTTGTGATCCTTTCGGCTATGTTGTTTCATATCAACCTATATAATGTTGATCTGGCGAAATAATTTAATGTGAATCTCCTATAAGTTTATTTGGTTTTAAGTAATGAAAGCTTGTTGGGCTTGTTGTATCCCTTGTTCTGGTCTGTTGTGCTGTTAGGGCTTGTTCCAAATTCTTGTTTCATTTGTGATGAGTTGTGAATTCAGTTACCAGCGAAACTCATCCACGGGGTTTTTACTCCATTGAGTGCCGTTGAAATATGATCGGCTATTGTGTTTCCCAACTTTGCTTGGCTAGAATTCTAATTTAAAATTAGATGTTTCAATGCTACGATGTAATTTCACGAGATACAAACTTAAGCACCAATCCACCAACCCTGACTACCCCAGCTGTTATTTCAATGCCTAGCACTATAGGTGTGGCTCGATGGTGGTGTAATAACGACAACCTACGCACCTAATCATCCATACTGGCTGCTGCATAAGGAGGTATCAACCCCATCCACGAAATTATAAACTCTATGGTATTTCTTACATGCTGTATGCCATGTCGCGATGAATTCTTCTGAGTTGGCGTTTTATCTCACATAACTGTGTTCAAGCGAAATCCGTCTACAGGTTTCAGTGTTTTGCTACTTCACGACTGGGTACAGTCCCATCCGCAATATTATTGTATTATATATAATAAGATAAAATTTAATTGGTTTAGTTAATTTCTTATCAATGTATTTGAGGCTTATAAGGCTTAGATTTTATGCAAAGAAAATCCCTGAGACATCAATAGAGCACATCTTGGTCCAAAATACAGCCCCCTCGAGGCTTTTTGTAAATATCTCTTCATCCAATGACTTCCAGTCGATCTCAAACTGTGCAGAGTGGATGTTTTGTCAGACAACCTAATCACATTGTAAATCACCGATTTTATGCATTTGTATTAAAGAATCTATCCAAAATATACAGCAGAGCGCATAAACTTGCTTTGCAGAGAGAGGAGCCAATGACCTGTAACAGCGGCGTCGTCTAGGTCGAACAGTTTGCCACCCGGCGGCTGGGTATAAATGTCCATTAGGTCCTCGTCGATTCGCGGACTAGACCATACCGAGAGTGTTGCTGTTCTTGCGGCTCCTGCGGTCATTGGCGATATCGGGTTAAAGTTACTGCCGGATCCACGTAGAAGCCGGGGACTTCAATAGCGTTGTAAATGTTATTTTTCAGTTGCAAAGGTACAGTTTACCGATCTATTCCTGGTTCGTCAAATCCACCAGTGTCCCGAGGTCGAATCTCGGCTAGGTTGGCACATTTTTCTTAATCAAGTTCCTGGACCATGACGCAAGCTAGTCATTATTGTATGTGCAGCGTTATGCTGAGGTACCCTATATTAATGGGATGTTTTTAATATCTAAAATACACATTTTTAATTCAGAGATGGTACCTTGTGTTAATTTCTTGTATGCTTACTGCCGTGGTGAACCGCGATTAGGTTCTGCCGTCGTTGTACTTTTTCGTTTTCACTGGTACTGCTCTCAACAGCGTAATTAGAAGGGCATTCACACCTTGAATGTTTTATCTGTCTGTAGTGCTCAGCTGGTCGAGATGAATGCACAGTTCAGCGGTATGGAACTAGGTCGGGTAATCCCATGCCTGTGGCCGGTGTTTGTCGAGGTATTTTTGCTTCGGCGGCAACCCAAGTGTTCACCGCCAGCGGCGGCTGGAGTCTCAAGGCGTTTCTTCCGTTGTTAGTTAACCACGGCCCGTGGCGTTCGAGTCGTTAATTTTGAGTTCGACTCCACCGGGTTCGAAGTGTTCATTGCTGGCGAGCACACACTGCTGTAGTAGCCGTGCGGTTATGTGGTTATGTTGTTGTTGCTGCTGTTGATGTTGGTCCATTCGCGGGCGGTAGGTGATATCGCAGAGTCGCGACCCGAGTTGACCTGGCGTGTTATCGATCGCGTGCATCAGTTAAGCGGACTCACCACTCATTATTTCTGGAAGTGTCACATACATATTAAAGTATATATACCCATTATATAATAATTTTAAAATGTAGAATGGCGGGAGTGTTTTTACCCTAAAATGGATATAGATTTCCACACATATGAAGACCCGTGGGTCGATGCGGTTTACATTTCAGAGCACAGTTTATTGATGTGTTTAAAATTACAGGGTTTCATTGGCCGGTTCCTGGCTAAAAATCAATTCAATTTACGCCGTGTAGTGCGCTACAGCTAGGTGTGGCTTGGCGTTGGCGACACGACACTTTCGGCGTGATCCGGGCTGTGTTTATGTTTCCGTGTACTTTCAGATAAGGCGTATCGTCAAAGAAATCAGCTCAGCTTCCACAGGACAAAGGGTGGGATGCAGTAAACAATCCATTATGATGAAAAAGCCATGATTTTACCGAATTGAAATCCATCCGAGCCAGGCAATTGGCATTTGCGAGGTGGGAACCACGGTTTTGGCATTCCCATCGTTCACAACATGCCTCTAAGCGAAAGCCAGCAAACAGCTGAAGTGAAAGATTGGGGTTACAAATTCGTATCATTCACGTCAAGACGAGCAGCGATTACATGCCTTTCGGCGACAGCAAAGGATTACAGCGTTTGGAGGTTTGAGCAGAGACCAGCGGGCCGATTGGAAAATGGTCATGCTGGACGCCCGAAGGGTTTACTTGTGCTGAATTGTCATCAGATTGAACAATTCTATTGAGGCGTACATGTGGGCGTGCTTTCGGCAGCTCAAAGCAGCGTTCGGCATGCGTGGGTAAAGGGACTGCCAGGGCCAGCGCAGAAGCTCCATGGCACCGAGTTCAGTTCGAGTCTTTTGCAGATCTTGAACGACCTTCTGTGAAAAAATTTGGGCTGTGCGCCACTGTAATTTCGCATGTTTAATTCGTTGCGGATCAGTTGATTCCCCCAACAGCGATTGGCGAGTGTCAACAAGGCGAGTGGATTTCTCGTGAGATCGACCTCTCAATTGCAGCGCCCTGTTGTTGCCAATTTCAAATTTGGAATAGTCTCGTCCCAACGGTTCGCGTAATTCTTATCTCGTCTCAATGCATTGTGATATATATTTACGGTCTGCTTTAAAAGTTTGTTGCTAACGGTATTGCCCATGAACGAGGTGTCCAGCTGAGGGTCTGTGAAATCGGTCATTTCGATATTGTCCCTTATATTAATTATATTAAATGTATATATTTATATAAATATATAATGTCTATCTGAGGAAAAAGCTAGATCCTTTTAGAAGATTAAGAGAGCCTCTTGGTGTCAAAGCGTCAGTCTGTGGCTATCACCAATAATCCGAGCAAAAACCAAACCAAAACCAAAACCAAACGCTGTTGGTTCGATTCCCCAACCTGGGCGAGAATGACCTTATCGTTCCGTCCGCGGTTCGGACTGGCGTTTAACATGGCATTGACTTCCGACAGCGACAAGCGTGAACTTCATCGTGTGGAATATCGGCCGTACCATCATCAAAAGAAAACCACCATCAAAATCAGCGGCAGCGAAGGTGTTGGTATAGGCGACAGCGATGTGTTTTACTGTATATATAGATCTATGGGAAAGCCAGGGTGAGCGTTATAATGATGTGTATCAAAGGTATCAGTAAATGCGACTTCGGATGGCGTCGAGTGCGTCTTCCGCATAAGATCAGCTCAACAAAATCCTGGCGGACGAAAAAGCCATGCGCCCGAAGAGTATCGGGGGAACGGTTTCGCGTGCGCTTCGACTTCAAGTTGCTCCGCGGGACATGCACCCGTTTTACCAGGCAGCGCTGGGCGTCGGTTGGAATCTGAACTCCACGTTTAACAACTACAGCAAAGTGATGCGTGCATAAAGCGGGATGCTGAAATAATGGTTGCCGCCATCGACAACATCTCGCTGGAGTTCAACATGATAGCGAGCCGGAGCTGGCCCGACAGGTTCAA